TCGATAACGATATCGGAAGGCTCTGGGTCGCCAGGAACGCGAATGTTGGTGAGAGGCTCGGGAAACATCAAAATCATGGTAAAAAGGTTGAGAGCACAGATGCCACCGAATATGTAGTTCGGATATCTCCAACTGCCCAGATTATCAACAGCGTATCCGGTGATCAGAGGACCGAAGACGGAGCCTCCTCCCAAAGCCCATGAGTATACGCTCATCGCTCTGGCGATGTACTCGCGTGGAAATAGAAGTACCACGACAACTGGACCTAGTGCCTCCACAACACCACCGCCCAAACCACCGATGACACGAGCTGCGAGTAGAGATTCGTAAGACTGCGCTTTGGCCTGCCAGAAGAAGCCGGCCGTGAATATCGCGAGACCGATGAGGATGGTGTAACGACTGCCGATGTATGCGACGGTCGGGAGAGCCCAGATATTCTAACAATCCAGAAACTGTTCAGCGTCGACGGAACTCAAACGAGTTACTGGGTAGGATCATATTGCTTACTCCGAGGCCAATGCAAAGACTTCCCCAGCTCGCAAGCTGAGAGATCTTGGTGCTGCTCACATGCATGTCCTCCACCAGGGGGACAAGCATAGGTGGGATGGAAGCACCCAAAACTTGGCCCATCGTGACGAAGAAAGATAGATTACCCATCATGATAAGCCGCCACCATAGGGGCCATGACTAGAGATGAACCTTTGTCAGCGCTACATTTAGATCATTGCATATGATAAGAGACTGGGTTTACGGATTGGACGGATGAAGTAGACGACGTTCAATAAGAACCAACAAGTAGTTGGCTGTCAGGCCACAGTGTTGTGGCATAGAAGAACTCACCATCGGGCCATCTTTTCGGTACAAACCGCTCTCATAGGAGGTCGCCATGCCGTGCTCGAGGGTCTCTGCCAGCTTTGTTTTGGCAAAGTGAGAGCGAATTAGGTCTACAAGCAGAAAGAAATACTCGGAATCTGCCAACTGACGCCGGGTAGTAAGGACGGAGCACGTCTATTGGCGTGCTGTAACAAAGGATATGAGAAGAAGACGGGCCACGAAAGGTTGATGTAGCTGGTTGGTGATCTGAATTTAAAGTCGGGATTTGCGTATACTTTTATCAAGAGGCTGGCCGGGTCTCAGAGACTAGCGATGTAGGAAAATTCGGGGTAGTGTCAGCACTAATGCTTAAGCCACGAATCCCCAGCCTGGATCGGAATTTTTATCTAGATTCCGACCTGGGGATCCGGGGTATGGATGGCCCTGCACCTTGTAGTCACATAAGTGCAGGCAGTTTTCGGGAATTCCGCTTGGATCTCGCTTCTGGCTGCCAGACTCTTTGGGGATTGCTACTCAATACGACGGTGCTACTTACCTTCAAGTCTGGACGATCGCAATAGGGTTTCCTACTTTGGGTCGGAACAGCTGGGACACGTCACGACCAACAGGTTGCTATAGGTCAATTGTAATAACAGATACAATCCCTCTCTAGGCATTAAGACTATACATCTTGGTACTCCCGCTGCTATACCCCGCATTTTCCGAGCTACGTTCCTGGCCATGCAGTGCCGCAAACGCCACCCGGTGGCCCACTCGGCTCACCCGGCAGATACCAGTAGTTCTCCTACATCGGTAATTAACCTTTATATATCTTAAACGTGGCGGTGTATGCGGAATTGCCTCTTTGGTCCCGATTTGACCATGGCAAATCCCGCAAAGACTTGAGCTTAGAGCAGTTCAAGACTTGTCATAGCTTTTTGCAACATGCATAGGGTTCAGCCCGTCTTGTCTTTCTTAAACGGCAGTATCTTGATGGTTCAGCTTTGCGCTTACAAGCCAAGTTAACGTGCCACTTCCACCGACTCTTCTACTTCATCAACTCTCATATTGTGCAATCTTGCATTTGCATAAACCTATCCGTTTATTTCATCACTATCTGCTCACACTAATATTGATACCCAGCTGAACACAAGAACTGGAAGTCTACTCCAAGATAAACTTGATACCAGCCATAAGATTCCCAAGGAACATCTTCGTTGCACTCAGCGTCGGAAACATCCAGAAAACATGGGGCAGCCCCTCGTACATGTCGAGCTTGACCTTGACCCCTTTGCTACGAAGTTCATGCTCCATGGCTACGTTGTCATCTCTCAGAGGGTCCGCTCCGCAGGCCACGAGGTAGGTCCGCGGAAACTTGCCGAGGTGCGATGAGAGGAGAGGAAACAGCCACTCATCATCGACATGCTTGTCGAGCCCAGTCGATGCTGCATTAGTCATTAGTAACTGTTACGTAATTTTAGTCTGTCTCTCTACGTACCATTGATCATCTTGGCCGTCTGTCCATCAATGATTGGGACATCTGTAGCGTTCTCTTCCATAGACTTCATGAGATGCTGGAGATGCTTTGGCACATTGGCTTCATGAACTGTACCTCCCGCCATGTTGATGACTCCTTTGAGCTGTCCCTCTCGTCCAAGTTCAATGAGCTTATGGGCTGTGGCAAGGGAGAGTGTACCGCCGCAAGAGCTACCAAGCATAAAGACACGCTTCTGGTCTCCTCCCAGCTTGGTCGCGTTTTCGTAAGTCTGCGGCCGGGCGTTAGAACTACTTCGTATAGTCGGGGGAAAAGGTAATCTACCCATGAGAACCCATCAAAGGCATCCTGGAATACAACCTCAATATCGACTGCTGGTGTAAGACGGTACTCAATGGAGACGATTATGCAAGGATACACGGGTGCAATCAGTCTACACAGGCTATCTTCCATATTAATAGATCCGTCAGAGAAGCCGCCTCCATGACAGAAAACGCCAACTGGCAGGGCTTCCTTGGTGTCTTTCGGCTTGTAGATACGAACAGCAACAGTGTCGTTGATTGTCTCGTCCGCTGAATCCTATAAGTTGAATGGAGGCTTTGACGAGTTGTGTACTTACCAACTTCAAGTCCATTGTCTCGGGGAGGAGGCAGATGAGCTTTGATGTACTTCCCAATAGCTTCTCCACCAGCTCGATAATTCTCCATGGTCCCGCCGAGGACAAGGCGGCCACCAAGCTCCTTCTCCACCTGCGACGGGTCAGCTTCGTTGATGCTTCTACGATGTGCGGAGTCTGACCTCTAGCCACTCGGGAGCTAAGTAAGGCGCCATTTTGGGATAGTATAATTTTACAGAGAGCTGAAGCTAAAGGAGGTAGTTGAGATCTAGGTGGGTATGTGTTGCTGATTGAATAGAGATTGTTCTGACAGATAAGGTCAGTCGGCTGTATGGCCGTTTATGTCAAAATCGCTCTTCTGTGATTACTGTGCCGGACCATCTGAATGGCTGTTACAGCACGTACTTGCTAAAAAGGTTTGCGTAGAAACAATTCTTAGCTTTCACGGAAGAAGTTCCGAATTTGCTCTCGAAGGCTGTGACATACCTTTGTGCAGCTTATGCTGCCACGCATTCACTCATAAAGATCGACATATCTTCGCGTCTTCCGGCGGGAAACCCGCAGAGACAAAGGGCAGCATGTTGACACTTGGAAAGTATTGCTCTGAGTTCAATTTCGGGTTTACCTCGGTTTGGCCGAGGGGAAACGGGGACGTTTCGGAAGTTCCGAGGTTCCAAATAGGGGCTCAACAGTTCCACTCGTCACGCGATGCAGTCTCGGGATTATCGACTAGATCACCGGATAAATGTAACCCACGAAGTAGTATCTTGATATCAATTTCTCGTTCCTCAGTGTTGGAAAGACACAAACGACAGAACAACAACGAAGCTCACGAAACGAAAGTCAACATGAACAAATGTATCTTTGTCGACGACTCCTGCGAACTGTCTATTCGCAACATACCAGAAACGTATCATCCCAAAGATGGCCAAGCCCTCGTCAAAGTCGAGTACTCAGGCATCAACCCAGCTGATCTCAATCATCCTAAGGATCTGGGAATGAAGAACAACGTATGTGGCTATGAAATCTGCGGCACCGTCATCGAAGCAGGAAAGACTAGTCGCTACGCAGTAGGGGACGTCGTCTTTGGATCCAACCATCCCGGACGCTCAAAACCAGGGTATCATGGCGGCCACCAAGACTATGTCATCCTAGAGTCAAACCTGATGTCAGCAAGGTTACCCCCTCAGCTCCCTCGGCCACATGCCGCGGCCCTGAGTATCATGGTGCGCTCAGCAGCAGATGCGTTGATGAATCATTTCGAAATTCCCTTTCTTGCTATAAACGTCTTGGGACCGCCTCCCACTGGTGCCTTATTGATTTGGGGCGGTGCGAGTAGTGTCGGGAGTGCGGCGATACAACTCGCAAAGGCTATGGGAGTGAAATGGATATTCACGACTGCTTCGCCTGCCAACCACGAAGCACTCCTCCAGCTCGGCGCAACAAAGTGTTTTAACTATCGAGATCCGGATGTCGTTGGCGCTGTCAGGGCTGCATGCGAGGAAAAGGGCGCCACAATCAAATATGTCCTAGACACTGTGTGCAAGACAGGCAGTCCAGGAACTATTGAGCAGTGCGAATTGATCGCCACGGCACCAGATGTCACATTCATCAGCACCCTGCCCCAGTTCAGTAAGCCGCCCCGATGGAGAATGGTTTTTGCTTCGAGAGAAACCGACAATCCCGTCCCGTTCGAGTTTCCAGGTGGAAATAAGGCAAATCCCGTATGGGAGGCTCGGCTAGAGAGAGCAGTTGTTTGGGCTGCGAAGAATTACGGGTCACAATTCAGAATTCCCAACATCAAGATTGTGGAAGGAGCTGAGGAGGGTATACAGGCTATCAAGGATGTGAATGAAGGAAAGGTAAGCTTGACCAAGGTTGTCATCAAGCACCCTCTTTCGATTGTACTGGACATAGATATATTTGCTCCTAGGTCATAGCGACCCTGTCATGTGCATCTCAGAAGTAGCTATTATTGGCAGGCCAGTTTCCGTTCACCCCAAATAGCCCGAACATATTGTCACCCAGTGTCTGAAGATCGCCTATCCACCGTTTAGTTCATCATTCTATCGTGCTTTAGGACGCCATTAACTTACCTGATCCAGCACATTGTGAATCCTCCAAGAGCTGCCCCATGTCAATATCTCCAAAGTCTTGTAGTATCGGCGTATTGCTATCTTTCGGCATGTGAAGCCGCTCCCCGATCCGGAGGAGTTGCTCAAAAGTAAAGGACAAATTCCCACACGCAAAGTTTCGACACTTGGATACCTGGAGTATTCTGATCGCTTCTTGAAATGCGTCTCTGCTCTCTGGTCCGTAAGTTTCTGGGTCCTGAGAAACAACTAGCAGGATTATAGCAAGTGACGACACGGTGAAGTATTCGTATGAGCTTCGAAGGCACTTTAACGGGGCCGCCTTGTTAATCACGCCGGAGCACAGAAATATGGTGGCTTTGGCACACTGAATACAGACTGCCGCTGCTGCTATCTTCTCGCGATCGCCTTTGTATGAGCGGAGGAGAGGTTTGCGTAGTAGTATTCGAGAGTGACAGATCCGTATCTCTAGAAAGGTTTCCAGGTCATTCATAAGAACTTCGTTCTGAAGAGGATCCCAAGGGTTGTTAGGTAAAGCTGTAGATCGAGAGGCTGCCGTAAGGTCCCGGAATTGATCGCGTAACCGTTGAATCCGATAATCGAGGTACTCCTTTTGTTGTCGACTTTCCGCAACGCTCTTGGCTGAAGCCTTCAGCAGTCCTAGTATCTCCGAATTGAGACGCGTGTATTCCATGTTCACGACTAGGAACGGAGACGAGATTCCCTTGCTATGAGTCAGAAGTTGTACGCCTATGTGTTCAAGGTCGACTATAACTCACAAGATCAAAGCAGCTTTCGTCTATGTCTTCATCCTTGGTGGTATGGGGAAGATCCGTTGCGAAAGAAAACGTCCGGTCTAGTACGTATACACAGCAGAATAACACTCGTGGGGAGAACGAACCAGAGACTTCAACAGCCTTCTCCGTTTCCTCTGGAGTTTGATGAAGACAGAGTTCGAAGCAAATTCTCGATGCTAGACTGGTAAGTCGCCACGCCTTCTTATGTTCGGACTTATGGAAAAAATACAGGGCCTTTTGTTCGCAAGCTGTTAGTTTGGAGACTGCCTGGTCAGATTGAATATCTCACCATTAAGGCAGCCATGGTAACATCGTCAATATCAGGGCCTTTCCCAATAATAACCTTCTCCACAGACCAATCGATGCAGCGTTGAAGGTACCGTGCCAGGGGACTTGTTTTATCATCCTCAATGAGGAGAGTGAGTCCCAAAACAGCTTTGAGAATGTCTATCTTCGTCAGGGTGATCGAAACGGGCTTTGGTGTCTGACCCGCTGAACGCCCAAGTACCGCACCCAAGACCTGTTCTGTCGATTGGAGGTCAACACAAGAGTAAATCGGATAGATAGTCTCCGCAAACGTGATGAACAAGCTTCTAGCTCTGTCGTATCCAAGTTCCAGAACAGATTCCAAGCAGTCGTCTTTTGCGGAAGCAAGAGATTGCTCCAGAGTCAGGCATGGTTTGTTCGTTGAACCTTGGACGTCCTTCTCAGCTTGGTCCACTATACCATTAGCTTCAAGGCATGATCTTGCCAAGCTGAAGGTGTCAACAAAACTAGAGCGGCGAGCTGTAGGCGATTTTTCGGTAGCTGCTGGGCTTTGTAGCGAGGCGCCTATGTTATTACCGGGTTGCGCAGGTAGACGGGATGCTTCGTTCGATGTAGGGCCGCCTGAAGTCGCAAATATTTGAGGCGTGGCCACATCCTCAGTTGATGGAGAGTATTCTGTCTCTCTAGGAAAATAGATTGATTAGATTCGACTTCTTCTGGACTTGATGTAGAATACTACAAGCTCATTTCTGTAGGCATTGGGCTCATGCTGGGTATATGGCCGCGACGTGGATAGGAACACTCTGCACCACGCTTGGTGCAGCGCTGGCAGGGCCACTGGCCGTCACATTTAACTTTTCGAGACTTGCATAGCATACTGGACTCATTGTATCAGCATCTTGTATATCTCGATAGAAAGGCTAGGAAATACCAGGCGACCAGAGCGTATTCGTTGCGCTTTCGGCGCCCGCCTCGGGTGATTCGCTGGATATCCGATACATCGCTTCTGGCGCCAGTTGGCAGTGACATGACTGTTCTAAATTCTAAACGTGGTATGTTGTCTAGAGTTAAGGTAGGTCGGGGGGTTGCATCGCAGTTATGAAGCGAGTTAGTAGGACAAATACTCGAGATCACGTGGGCAACCAACCCCGCGTTCTCCAGTCTTGGGCCCCATACGAACTAAAAGTTCCGCAGTCTAAGGGAGTAGCTCCGTTTTAGCGGTTCGGCTCTCACTAGACAGAAGAACCTGGCTCGAATGGTTCGAGTAAATCAGGAATGAATCTTGGCTAGAGTTATGGAATGTCTTCATATTTTGGTGAACGGTGCAGTTCAGGTCTTGCTAACCCAGCTCAATTCCTAGCAGATAACAGATATCGTGACTGCGTTTACAACTCCTTTCCGTTTGATCCATTCTGTCGCATCACCTCCATCGCTTCATCCATTAGTGCACATGCTTGCTTCCACGCCGGCCTCAAGCTCACTCTCTCCCACCAATCTCGCAGATGCGGCAACTCAGCCAGGAGTATGTCAGCCCCCTTCAAATCAATCAGCTGTGACACCCAAGGCATAGTCCAGATGTCGACCAAAGTAAACTCTTTGCCACCGAGATAACTACGGCCAGACAATATCCCGTCCATGGCCTTGAGAGCGCCATAGAGCTCATTCCAAATATCCTCTAACGCCTTTTCCCCTACTCTGGGAATACCCAGTACCCTGTTAGAAACAATAGTCAGTCACGCGATCAGTGACGGACAATACGGGAAAATGGTTAACTTGCGGTTTAATGACGATATCTGCGCCGTATTTCCATGCTGTAGTGGAGAAATAGCAAACTTCCATCGAGGCAGCTTCTTCAAATGAAGCCATAGCCTCTATATCAGAGACATCTGGCACTAACGGGTTTCCGTGGTCAGAATACACGGTGGCGATGTAACGGGCAATCGCCCGGCTTTCTATATAAGATTAGTAAGTGGCAAGGACTCTGAGGGGAGGGTCAGGTTCGTACCACAGATCCGCAGAACTCTCTCGTCTTGGCCGTTTAGTACGTCCAAGATTGGCACTTTGCCGAAAGGGTGCAGTTTGCGGTGTTCAGGAGTCTTGTTGGCCGATTAGCATGTTGCAGGGTAGTCAATTCCGTGCAATTCATGGATCCACACACCCGAGTCTCGAACTTGAGGATGTCGATATGTCTGTATTCCCAGCTAAGACCCTTCTCGAGCAATGCATGCGCGGTGGTGATTGTATACGGGGAGACGTAATCCCCGTGAAGTATGTACTTGGTCGACCTGTCCATGGTAAGTTTTGACAACAAGGCGCCACCAAATGACTGCTAGACTTCCTATATTTTGAAAGTTGTTGAGGGCTAGCAGTTTGAATTGCCACAGAAGCACGTAAATGATCTTATCTAGTGTTACCAGACATCATTAGTCTAAATCCCACCTACTACTCATCAATTTTAAGGCATTATCAGTATCGCAAACGAAAAACAATGCTCCGAGGTCCGAGGTCTGGGGTAGTCAACTGTGGGGTATGGGGCTCGGTAGTTCCGAGGCCGACCATTTTGCATTTGGCTAGCCTCCGAGGTTGCTGATCTTCCTTTTCGACGCGTTTCGCTTTGGACCAGGTTCATCCATCTTCTGTCTCTTCTCGGTTCTGAATCTTCATCTGTGTAACTTTGGCATCGGAAATCTTATCACGATTTCCGAGCAGTCAATGCAGACTTTGTCAACATGGAGATGCCGCCATGCTGGAGCTCCAATTGTCGGATAAGCCGCTCTCCATCTCGTGGACAATGGAAGTTCCGAGCTTTCTCAAGCTTCCGACTACAATGGAACCCGCGGACTGTTCGCCTGAATGTCCAACAAGTGTTTCTTAGACATGCCATTTATTAAAGAAGATCGGTATCAGTGTGTATAATACAGCTTCAGAGACCATTTAGCTAAAGCAAAAGACATCATCCTTATCTTAGAACGCCACACTTAGTACTATCTTTCATAACCATGAGCCCTGATATCCTTGATTCGCAAGAGTTAGCCAACAGGCTGACTCAGGCCAAAGCGTGGAGTCAGTTCTATCAGAATTACAATCCAGATTACAAAGTCTCGGACAAGACTTTTGGTGACCCATGTCAGTCCAGACTTTCTCTTACGGTTATTTTGATACCTTTCATGCTGACATATGTTCTGGCAGCCAATCGTAAGATTCGGGTTGTCGACATAGGCGCTGGCCTCTTCGGCATCAATCTCGCATACTGGATCTCCAACAAGTGTGAAAACTTTGACCTCACTGTATTCGAAAAGAGTAATAAGCTAGGAGGCGTCTGGAACCATAACAGATATCCTGGAGTTGCCTGCGACGTTCCATCTCACGTGTATCAATACAGTTTTGCACCGAACCCAGATTGGCCCCGGTTTCTCAGCCCGTAAGTAGGAAAATCCGCAAAGAACGCTGCTGGTACTGACTGAGCAAAGAGGTCAAGACATTCAGAAGTACCTTCAGAAATGCGCCACCACGTTTGACCTTAACAAGTATATCAAGTTTCATACCAGGGTTCTGAAGGCCGAGTGGCATGAGGAGGGATTCTGGCGCGTCTTTGTGCGGGAAGAGCTACCAAATGGCGAGAATCGGGAGTATCACCAAGATGCTGAGATCTTGGTGAATAACGCTGGAAGTCAACATGTCTACCAGTGGCCTAATGTTGAGGGTCTCGATAAATTCAAGGGAACAGTAAGTCTGTAGAATTCGTGTGCTAATTGTGTACTTACGGATGTGTCAGTTGCTTCACACTGCTGAATGGGATGACCGATTCGACCAAGAGGCGTGGAATAACAAGACCGTTGCTGTAATTGGCAGTGGTGCCTCGGCAGTACAGGTAGTACCTAGTATGCAAGTAAGTCTCTAGCATTTCCGTTTAACGCTTAAGCGTTGTTGACATCTGGTAGCCTCATGTTTCCAAGATGACTGTTTTCTCCCGTACTCCAGTTTGGTTTGCGCCTGGGCTCGCAGGCGATGAGTTTAGTCCGGAGTGTAAGTGCAACTTTTATCCTCAGAGAAAGAAGAGTCGGATACTAATTCCTCTTGAAGATTCACCAGAAGACCGAGAGGCGTTCAAAAAGGACCCTTCCAAGCTTCAGGCCCATGGAAAGAGCATCGAGAGGCGTCTCAATGGCCTCTTCCCAAATTTCTACAGCGGCACTGATCACCAGAGAAATGCCATCAAGTTCTTCTACGATCAAATGAAGATCAAGATCAAGGATCCAAGTCTTCTACAGGGTGAGTTTAGAGTAACTTGGATTTGTCTACATACTAATCCGCTTCCAGGCTTTACTCCTGAATTCGTTCCGGGATGCCGTCGCATTACTCCAGGTGACCCTTTCATCAATGCAGTCCAGGAGCCGAATGTTGAGGTCGTCTTCAAAGGCGTGGCAAAACTTACAGAAGACGGTGTTGTGGATACAGATGGCGTTGAACGAAAGGTTGACGCCGTAGTCTGTGCAACTGGTAGGTCTGTTCCGAGAAGATCTGTTTCTAGACATTCTGACCAAAACCAGGTTTCAGTGTCGACCTTATCCCACGATTTGAGGTCATCGGGCCAAACGGTCTTCTGATATCCAATTTCCTTAAGCAGAGTCCAGACAGTTACATGTCGGTCGCTTTGGCGCAGTTCCCAAATTACTTCCACGGCAGTACCGGTGCCTACTGGCCCTCTGCCAACGGATCTCTCATCGGACCCATGGACGCAGTAGCCAACTACGTAGTCCAAGTCATCCAGAAGCTGCAAATGGAACACAACATCATCAGCGTGGTGCCCAAGCAAGAAGCGATGGACGACTTCGTCGAACATGCTCAGACATGGTTGAAAGGCTGCGCTTGGTCAGGGGACTGCCCAGCTTGGTACAAGACACAATCTGGACCGTTGAAAGGCCGAGTGAACTTAATTTGGCCTGGTATAACACTTCAATTTGTCAGAGCCTTGAGCAAGGTCCGTTGGGAGGACTATGACATCAAGTATGCTGCTAGTGGGAAGAAGAGTGCAAACCGATTCTTGTATCTTGGCGATGGGCTTGTCAAAGAGACGTTTGATACCGATATGGATGACACGCCGCATATTCATCTCGGAGCTATTGACCCTCGCTGGTCAAAGGCTGCTGGATTGACTTTCATTGATGGGATGCAGCGGTTGGATGACCCTGAAGTAGTCACCAATGGTAAGGCTCTGTAGGAGTAAATAGCTACAACCATATGCCTAAAGGAATAAAGACTTGTCCAATGATTATTTAGCCTCAACTTGCCTGAATCATTTCCAAGTGCCTGCAAGATCATGCATTTCATATGATACCTTTGAGGGATTGGGAATGTGAAATCACACGCAATAAAAATGTTTACTTTAGTGCTAGATATAAGCACATTAAGCTATCAGTAATTCAAATAGCCTGGTAGCGATGCAACGAGGAACGATCCTCCGACTTGGTGGTATAAGGGTCATATTGACGGCCGTTGCACTTATTCCGCCAGCCGGCACTTGTCCAACAAATTTCACACTCTGAGGTTCTGGTGGCGGATGGCAAATGCTGGTCTTACTGATAATGGCTAGTCTTTCCACAAAAGAGGGCTCATGATTTGTCCACTGCTCAATCCATGATTCAGCTCTGTCAACCCTTGCATTCAGCTACTACTGACAGATAAGCTTATGCCCGCGAAGTTAACATATATGCATAAATCAAATTAGGAATCTCTGGACCGCACCAAGCAAGTTTGCGAGTCACGCAAATATGAATAACAAGATGCTATTGTTGGTCTACTGTTGGAGCCGGGAGTGAAGAGGTACTAAATGACCATGTTTGTTTGGTTAATTGTCCCGCCGCCCAGGTGAATCGGCAGACCGGAAATCTGGGATGATAATGCCACCCACCTTTGCCAACATCTGATCATGATGGCTCTGTGCACAGTATCAGGGCTGACGATCAAATTACAGTAAGGAGCACAGCAGGCCATATCCATTAGTTTTTATTAGTTGATAGCATCAAGTCATGCCAATTTATTGTCTCACAGCGACCAATTCTCGATTTTCAACCCCCGCAAGGCTGTAAGCAGGCTGCAAGACTGTCGGCAGCCACTGAAGCCATTTTACAATCCAGGCTTGGTCGAAAGAAGGAAAAAGAACTACAAGGACACTACCCAGTTTCATCGAGGTAATGACACAAGACTATCATAAAGGCAGATATACAGTAAATTTCGAGGTTTCTTCCCACTTCATCGCACTACCTTGAAATCATGAAGTCCTCCAGCCAGTATGGCCCGGAGCCAGAACCTCATTATACGTACCAACCAACGATGCCTACGCCCACCACCGAGGGTCCAACATCGTCCACCCGAATTCGTGGGGTCGTCAGAGACGTTTGGCTCGCATGCATAATATCGTCCATTACTCTCATTGCCTTTTCTGCTTTACTTCTCGGCCTGGTCTTTCACTACCAAGTCATCCCAACTCATCCCAACTCACCCAGTTTTCAATCTGCAGTATCTGCAGATTCCAATGTCATCTATGTTGACTTCCATCCTACCACTCTGATCATCGTCGCGTCGTGGTCTAGCACTATGGCGCCACTCATTCTGCCTTTTCTTCTGACTCTGGTCTCGTTTCCCGTTTCTAGGACATTGATTCAGGCGAGTCAGAGCGGCGATCGAACCCAACAGCCGACTCCACGACAGTATGCTCTCATTCTTCGTATCATGAGCAATGCCTCTTTGAGCGCCTTATGGAGTTGTGTAACCTATTTGTTTATCTCCAAAAGGAAGAGGGCACCAATGACACAGCCATTAACATTCATGACCTGGATGCTAGCCCTGGCCTCGTTTCTCAGGTAAGTAGTTAGTATCATACCGGTTATAAATGAGGCTAAACGAATCAAACATGTTGGTGTTTGCGACGGATACTTGGTTGCATGTTGTGACCAAGACAGTTCTTCTCACCCAATTTTCACCCACAACATTCGATAGCGGTAGCTTCATGTTCAACGAAAACTGCACAAACATTAACACTACATCCAAAGGCGGCTGTACTCTAAACAGTGCGGCAGCAAATACCTTTCTGATCAATAGCGAACCATCACTCGAGCTCCTCGCCAACGTCTCCAGTGCAAATATGGTGCAGCAGGTCGCTGACTCTATAGGCAAAAGCTACGCTTTCGTTGGTCTTCGGCAAACCAATCAAAATGCCAACCTAGACTACACGGCTACGTCTTTCGGTGCTTCTTCCCAATGCCAGATTGTCACAAAGCATTGCATTAGTGAAGACGGCATTATCGGTCCTCAGGCCAGCTATAATTGCGACTTTGGCCCGGTCCAGGGAGTTATACCGACCACTCTGGTAAATTCAATGGTCCTCACTTACTTCACCGATCCATCAATGAAAAAACTCTTCATCCCTGGTGTCGCTGCCAAATCCATACTATTTTACCGCCATTGTTAGCGTCAATCAGAATCTGGGCCGCAATCCCAACAGAGGTCTGATAGAGGACCCTGACATAGCCAGCGGGCTCCACGGATCAACTCTTTTCGCATTGCTTTGTAGTACCAAAGTTCTTGACTGGCGATACACTTCGATAAACGGATCCGTCAAATCTTTTTCATACTCGCCGAGCAATGCATCTACTACCAATATTGTGATGGGGACTCAAGGATATACTCACGTCGGCGATTCATATGTCCTTCAACAAACAAGTCTTGACGTGTGGCAGAGCGACACGGCACAAGAGGTAGCCGACAAATTTGCGGAAACGTACAGTCGAACCGTCATGGGTGCAATCGGAGGAGCTTTACTCTCTGCGCCAGCCGAAGAGGCTCAGTCACGATCCTCAAAGCTGGTAGCTAAGATTCCCAAAGGACCCCTTGCATGTCTACTGGTTGCCAATTTGATGCTTGTGATACTTGGACTATTTCTTACAGTTCGAGCATTTTTGGCCTCAAGCAGTGATGTTGGAGACGTACAAGCGCGACTCGGCATTACTGCTCTCGTTGCGGCTCATTTCGAGGCAGATAAAGGGCAGGTCGCAGTGGAAAAGGTAGATCATATGTTCCAAGAAAGAAATGGGGGTGACGGACCGCGCGTGACTGTAGAAAGGAGTGCTTTGGGTGGATGGAAGTTTGCTAGTTACCAGGCTGTATATCATAGCTTGCTTCGGTCGTCCAAGTCACAGCTTAAGTACATCGCATAGCCCCTTCTGCAATCGCTACACCCGATAACTGTGGCCCAAGATGACTAAACCATTTAATTAACGCCAGATGGAACTCGTGTAAACAATACTTTGTCAACTCTGCATTAAAGGTCGGAAGAAAGCTGCGGTCCATAAAACAATGACAGATTTCAAAAAGCGGGGTAAGAGTCTTACGGAGCAACACGCTCAGCCCCACGCAACGCGTCCTAACTTAGGAATTTTCTCCATCTTCTCCAGAGTGACCTATAACAGGAATTACAACCGCGTTAGTGCTTCCCGGGTGATGCTGTGTAACGGAATAATTAAGATCTAAACCAATCACAACTTGCCAAATCATAGAGCGGGTTGAAAATACATTTCCGCTTCAGAATTCTATCATGCCGCCATGGTCATCTCATCATCTGACGATATCTTTCCCATGTTTGATTCCGTCACTTCGGTACCAAGTCACAACCTCTGTCAGTAGTACAGTACCTCTCAGAAAGATTTGCCAAACTCCAGCAAATATCAGCTATGGCAAATACTCTCACCCTTTCGACTGCGGCTGGCGCGGGCGGCTCCTTCGAGCAACAAGGGTCTATTGACTGGGTCCAGATCGCCAGGATGTCTGTTTCTGTGCCCATCTCTGTCCTCGCACGCTTTACAGCGGCCGACGTTTCTCCTCTCACGATCGTCGTGGGCCAGGAAATGTCATCTCTCTTTCGATTGTCCACCACTGGACATGAACGTCTCATTACAGCACTTGGGAACCTGAAGAGCTTCTCTGCCATTGGAGATGCGATTTGGTTTGGCTTTGGGATCAAGCACATAGTGAGATTGCTTGGAGAGACTGATAAAGGGCTAAAGTGCTTGATGCTCTGTGCATGTCTTTCTGAAATTCATTTACCAAACACCAGCGCCGAGATTTTGATCAGGCTGGCCGATGCTTGTGACGCCCCTGATGATATACGACCCTCTGCTAGTCAATGGTTGAATCTAGTGGGATCTTGCTCCGGAACTCTCAAGTCGACGACCTTTGCATGCATTGCGGAGCAGTTCATGTCGTTCCATACTCCTTACGTGAACGAGGAATACAAGGATGAACCTGGACATGTTGCGGAAGCCTTACTTGCTGTTGCACGTGTATCTTCGGGTGTGCTGAGCTCAGCAACATTGACTGGTGGTCGATCCTGTGGATGGATCGCAGCTATCGGGTTCTACTTCCTTGGCCTGGAGGTCGAAATTCAAAGTGCTGATAATGCTACGATTTACAAGTCTACAACCAGCGATGATTATATCCGTCTGGTGGTCATATACGGGAAACCACAGTGCTCGCAACAGGTCCAGGTCACTAGCACTGCGTACTTCATCAACTCTGTTGATAACATCATGTCCAGCTATGAGCAGCGATTTGATTCCATCATCTCTGGAACCCTGCCATGGAACAGCTGTCTTTGCAGAACGTTTGGGGACTCATTTAAGAAGCTTCTGGACGCCAATAAAGAATTCGGATATCTTATAGGCGCAGCCACACGCGTCTTTCAAGGCTTGACCAACTCTGACACAAGTGGAATGTTCGATTCTGACGACTGCATCAGTTGGTTTGGCTTTCAACCAGGTCAATACGGACATGGATTTTGGCATTCCGCTACGTCTTGGTTTCCTGAACTTTTACCCCTGTGTCCCAAGGTTGATCTCGACGTGGATATGTCTGTTGACGAAGCTGTTAAGGCATATAATCGAGCCGCGAAGGACTTGGCACACATCTGCGGGTGTACTTATTGCTCCGGAATTGTTTGTAGATCCACCACACGTGGTTACTGCCTTCCGGTACTTGCCGAGACCATTATCTTCCTGGTCTGGAATATTTCTGCGCTTCAAATCCATACCGATCTCAAACCGTATCACTCTGGCTTGAGATTCATTTACAAACTCCACTCCGGTGGGGCTTCAATTGACCCTAGTTTTGGAAAATGGGACAGAGGGGGTTTTCACGATGCTTACTTCGGAGATCTTGTTCATCTCGTACGACGTCTCGACCTTGCTTCGGTATACCATACGGCGCAGTTTCTATTTACGAATAACTTATATGCTCTGCAGAGATGCAGGGCATTCACTTCTGCTTCTGTTGGCGGTCTCTGCTTCTATTTTGACATATTGCGTAATGTGTCAGATCGGCCGGAAGAGGCAGTGACACTGCATGTTGTGCCGGGAGTAATCCAGACGAAAGCCGGACGACAATACTCTTTCATCGCGGATAAAACTGGCACGAGGTCTGATGGCCTTCTAGGTTTTGACTGGAGAGACAATTCTTCATTCGAGATTACCAGTTCGTACAGGACGGATTATCAAGCTAGCGTCGTTGACACCTTGGGTGGCAATATATCGATCCCCATACTTGCTACGGACACAGGAAGCTCTGATTTGAATGTCAAACTGTTTCTTGAAGAATCTACCAGCGGCTTGCTTGTTGATCTTCACTTCATCAGTGCCAGGGGAACCTGTCGTGTTGGGGCATATACCATGCTTAAAGAGATCATCGAGAACTCAGGATTAGTCGGGTGCACTCACCGCGATTGTACCAGGATGGATCAGATTCAGTGTGATATATCAGTCATAAACGGGGAAGGCTCTGTGCCGGAGACTCTCCAGCCGAGAATCTACCTACGAAGACTTGCGGGTAATCCTCTAGCGAGATGCGTTGGGCTTTTGGTTAATAGAGAATGGAATGAAGCGCCCATATTGCGCCAGCGGGAGTGTATACCATGTTGTGTCAGGACTGCTGCCAACATGCGGTATAATCATGGCGTGTCTCCATCCTATGTTATTCTTTGATTTACAATGCACCATATTGATTGATAGTTAAAGCTTATGATATCTCAACGAGACATATCAAGCCAACACACTGAAAAATATCTCATACAATCATTTGGGCAAGCCTCTCAATTTGTGATTGGAATTAACACACAGTTTAAGGCCAAAATACGCTAACTACAGCAGACATGAGTCATAATAGCCAACAAATTTTGCAGAAGTCTTTTGCTTTTGCTTAGCGCAGCCGAAGATGCGAAATAAGTCAAGGTCATACACACAGCGCAGCGCTTTGTCTGCAGGCCGACATATAGCTATTAAGCGTAAAATTAACAACAAGAACGCGAATTCCAGCTGCTCTGCCTGTACCTTCTGACACTCGGTTAGGCTCAGCAGTACATGCTACTACAGGCTGTAAGAGAGCTTAGAGAGGGGCTTACACTGCGAGGAGGCATTAGTCATCCGCATGCATATTTATGAGATCATCCCTGGAATACTGCGTCACCAGTGGAGCAGTCGTGTGGTTGACATTCCGACTTATGGTGGGCAAGCGTAATTATCCCGATTGAAGACGGATATTTCGGACTTCTGAGGTAAATAGTCCTGCCGCAAGCCGAATCACTGAATGCATATAAGACCTCTTCCTCTCAGATATACTCTCTGTATGTTCCCAAGTCTACCAGCGATCAACATTGCTCCAAGCTATTGATTATCAAAAATTACAATCGATCAGACATTTTACAATGTCTTCCAAGCAGCCAGATATCACTCTTTACTTCCTCAATGCGAGCCGAGCGATCCGAATCGCCTGGCTCCTGGAAGAGCTGGATATTTCGTACAAATTGGTCACCTCGCCAAGGGCAGCCAATGGGCTAGCGCCGCCAGAGTTCAAAGCTAAGATTCCAACTCGCCTTGGAAGTAGTCCTGTTATTCAGGATGGGGATCTGGTAATCCAGGAAAGTGGTGCTATTGTGGAGTGAGCAAATTTATCGTCCGCTCTTGAAGGTTGGTGATCGTTTGTTTACCAATTGCTACAGGTATCTCATCGAATCATATGACTCTACGTCACGGCTGTTGCCTCAGGAAGCACATGCTAGAGCAAGTGTTCGGGAATGGATTCAAGCTTCCGAGGGCACTTTCATGATGAATGCTGTTCCTGTCAGTTTTTCTTAATTAGCATTGGAATTTTCTGAGGTGATGCGCTAACGCCAATAGATCATCATGGCCCGTATGGGAATGCCAAAAGAGGCTGCTCAATATGTTTCAGGGCTGGAGGCTGCAATTGTGCTAAGGGTGAACGAGGCAATGCAGTGGTTGGAAGCGGAACTTGAATCAGGCCCTAGCAAGGGCCAATTCATTGTCGGGACAGATCTTACTGCTGCAGATATCATGATGGGCTTTAGCATCGAGTGCATTTTTGCCATGAAGCTGGGAACGGAAAGTCAGGATTGGCCACTAATCAGTAAATGGCTGGCGAATATCAAGGAAAGGAAGGCTTATAGGTCAGCGGTGGAAAAGACAGGATATACAATGTAGGTCCTTGGTGATGGAGCTCACTCTATGATAAAGTATAGTACTTAGCTTGTTCTACGTTTTATTGTACTCTTGGTTTTAGTCGGCTACTATTGCATTTCCTAAATATTAAGGCCCAATTGGGCCACCTAATCTACACTATCAACCGAGCGCTTGGCGGATGTCTTAGGTGGAAATAGCTTCTCTGATGACTGTATCCTTAACACAGAGCGCGAACCCAGCATGCCAGCAAGTACGTCATCTTTATTCATACTACTAATGTACGGTGACCTAGGAATCGTCGCAAGTAGAGCAGGTAAGATTGCTGTTGCTTTGGATATGGTCACTTGTACTAGAAAGTGAGAGAAAAACAGCTTGAGCGTCATGTTAGCAGGCTATGAGTAAACCAGAATCAGCATACGGTCGTCCTAATCTAGTGATTCGTATAGGACTGGGGATCTTTTGTCACTATTTTCATCCTAACCGAAATAGCAAAACTTCCAGAATGAGCACCAAAGTCCACTTAAAACAAGGCTGAAAAAGGAATATTAAAATACTACTGTCTGCGCTATAATCTCAATTTTCCGGAGATAAGAAGTCAGACACCTGCCTCGTCTTATCTTATCCTAGGCCTTCGGCTTGGTACTTACATCAAGCTGATAATTGAAGGAGCCACTTTGCCAATCTTTGCGGACCCATCTGCCAAGATAGTCATGCCAAAAAGCGCTAGGTCTTGTCCTTGCGCGAACTTTATGTACGCGATCCGTCGATAGTATCGAGACACTGTGACGAGGATTGGCTCCAAGACCAAACAACCAAGTCCTGTCATCGGGCCCCTTGAACTCCAATGGGATATCAGTGGAAATAGAGTGATGACTTTAGGCATATTGACTTGTTTGCCTACCCGGTCCGGATATATTTGTGCATAGATCCGAGCGTTGTCAGAGACCAGGTTGTATCTCGATTCCTTGTCTATCTTGGCGGTAAATAGATGTCCCCTTAGTGTCAAAGTTCCCTCGATTCGATTAAGGTCTAATACTGATAGATGTTCTGTTGTATTACCCAAACACGAATGCGGCTCAAACTCGACAGGGGATTGCAGAGATGCCCAAGACCATGATGGCGCCACATAATGCGATGATAACTCTTTGCGAGGAGATCTCACACAGTAGCTTAGCTGTCGCGCAAGTTCCGCTCTCCACAAATCGAAAGCGTACGTGTCCTGAAAAGCTTTCCGGAACAAGTCGGCTACCCCTTCTATTGCATGAAGTCTGTCACTAGCCTTCGTAAGCTCGCAATCCGTGTATTCCTGTACTAATTCTTCCCATTCTCTCGCGATTTCCACTGCAGGTCTCTTCTCTGCTGCCAACGCTATCTTGCCAGAGCCTGTGATTATTGATAGATATTGGGACTTAGATCGGCAAAGAGGGGGCATACCGTGCGGGAATGTCTCGCACCTCTGCTCGGTGAAGCATTCCAGAAGACTTGCTTGTCAGCGAAATATAAAACTCGAGGACTGAGAAGTCGCTCTTGGAAAACCCAGCCTCGCTTCAGAAGTTCTTTATCAAGCAATTGGCGGTTTGTGTAGTCGGAATCAACGGCATAGTAGTCTTTTGGGGGTGTTGACTTATCCAAGGCGGCACGAACAATTGATGGTTGAAAATCCTCCATGGTTCGACTACGAAAAAGCCCTCCATGAGGGTCGGTTGACGCAAAGGCAGCAAGATTACAAAGAGCGTTGGCATAAACAAGTCGCATAGCTGCAGACTCTCGAGACCAGTCTTCGCTACAATCCTGGATGATACAGAGAGCATCGATCCACAAGAACTTCACCGAAAACCTCCATGCAACTAAGCATGCGTCCTGAAACGTGCGCGGAAGGTCGGCGATGGGAAGACCATTCTGGAAAGAGTACAAGTTCTCTTTGAGAAGTCGAAAGTTGTCCTTTGAGCCCCATCTGTAGCTCAATGTCATGTAGGACGGTGGTGGTTGGGGCTTAGCAGGAAGTGATACAAGCTTCCATTTCCCTTCGCCTTCATTGCCAATATCGATAAGCCTGGTAGGCCACCAATTCCCTGCTTTCTGAAGCTGTCGGCACTCTGGATGATAAGTGCGACAGTTGTTGATCCAGTTCATTGCAAGTTCCAGGGTAAGTGATGATGAGGTGCAAGACTCCGCATAGGAGAGGAGCGATTGTTCTGGGGTGAGATTGCCTAAGTCTTAAGAACAATTATAAGTATAGAATATGACTTGGAAGGATACAATACGAACCGTTTATCGGAATCAAACGGAACCATACTAAACCCGAACTGTTCATTCCCTTCCAATTACTTGGTATCTTGTAGTGAACCGTGAATTGCACCCTTGCTCCTGTGAGTCTGTAATCGTAGGTGTAATCGTAGGATGAAGGAAAGCAGCCTGTTTCTGCTCCACTAGCCGTGGATGCGCCGCTTTGTTGTAAGCGCTTGTCAATAGTGGTACAAATAGCACATCCATTGTCTATCGCGTTAAGGAATGATTCATAAGTCGCATGATGAGAACCAACCCGCTCATTATTCAAGGAGCTTTCTTCCAGTACGTCAGGATATAATGCCTGCTCGCAGGTCGAACAAAGATGACTCAATGCCATTGAGATATTTGACAAGGTGACGAATTGAACTTATAATAATGCAATTGCTGTAAGAAAATAACGGTTTATACTTACTCTGAGTTCTTTATTTGAAAGACGGTTAGTGGTAAGCTGGTGCCTAACTGTATTGAGTGGTGCCTAAACAATCGTGGGGAGTTATGATTGGGTATAACTGTCTTACCATACTCAATATCAAATTGCATTTACGAAGTAAAGGCAAGTTGTGCGATGTGGCGCGGGGCCTGACCTGTGTCTCTATTCTACATGGCTTCAGTATCTCTAATACTTAGTAATTCCCATGTATTCTCTAGAGTAATCATAAGAAATAGTATCTTTAATAAAGTAAAATCGTTATTTTGTTAAGCTGAAAAGCTTTAAATCAATATTAGGATAAATTAGTATCTTTATACAAACCTATCGAAATATAAATATAAACCAATTTAGGCACTGCTTTGGTAGGCTACATATAAGCAGCGTTTAAGAGATAAGTATTCTAGGCTAATCAGTAATCCAATCTTTTTCAGATCAGACATCAGTCATTTCTACAGATGTCATGCCGTCTGTCTGCGTTCCCTTTTGAAGCATAAGAGCCGGTCAATCAGCAAAAGGACATATAGAAACGCCCCGATAGAGAATATCGACTCGATACCATATGCGCTATAATCTACACGAGGAACAATAGAATTTAAGCTTCCTCTTTGGTCTCCCCATATCAATTAAGTCTAAACCTATCAACCACTCACAACCCTCACTTACCGCTCAGATACTCTCCAAGCCAAGGTCACAACCCCGCTCCAGCGCCAAGAATTCACAAAGTCCCCCTCTAGCGTTAGCGACCTGCCACAAAGAGCAATGCCGATGCACAAGCGGCCCGTCCAAATGCAACCTTGCGTCAACGGCATAACGTTTGATTCTGGAAGGTCAGGTCGCAGTTATGCTTAATCTGAGGGACCGGAACTTATGAACTGTGATAGGCGGTATGGTGTAATATATCTCCTGCCGCGAAAGGTCACGGAGCAAATAGTGTTGTGACGATTGATGGGCTGTGTTACAGCTCCTTCCTAACGTAGCCTTCGGAGGAAGATCATTGTTTTCTATATAAGTTGGTATTTCCGTGATCGACGTTGATGTTTAGCCAAGCTCTCAAGTCACTACAGCTTCAAATCACAGACTTTGATTACTGCCATCATGCGTGCTACTCTTGCTCTTGCAGCCCTTATCGGGTTGTCAAATGCCGCTGCCATCGACCCCCGCAAAGGCGCTGAGCCTCTTTACAAGATTGAGCTTGGACCTGGCGATGTCCGCATGGTCACCGAGAAGGAAAAGTGGGCACTGAGAGCTGTACGTTTCATGCCCTCGCACAATCTCTCACCGAGTCTGACCATCACAGGAACACAAAACTTTCATCGATATCACCGACCTTGATGAGCCCGGCTTCAACCTCCAGTTCCTCGCCAGTTTCCCCAGCGCCGTTGCTCAAACATCTGCCGTCAACGCTCTCATTCCTAAGCTGAGCCAGACAAACCTGCGCAGCACTCTGACAGAGTTCATCAAGTTCCAGAATAGATACTACAAGTCTACCTACGGCCAGCAGTCAGCTGAATGGCTGTTTGGACAGATCCAGTCTATCATCACTGCCAGTGGCGCTAAGAACGTCAAGGTTGAGAAGTTCACTCACTCTTTCCGTCAGCCTAGCATTATTGCTACCATCACTGGAAAGAGCGCTGCTACTATTGTTGTTGGCGCTCACCAGGATTCTGTCAATTCTCGAAGCCCCGAAACTGGACGGGCCCCCGGTGCTGGTGAGTCATTCTTCACTTTTCATGAAAATACTGGCTAATGAGCACAGACGACGATGGCTCTGGAACCGTCACCATCCTTGAGGCTTTCCGTGTCCTCCTGACCGACTCTCGCGTTTCAACCGGCCAGGCCCCCAACACCATTGAGTTCCACTGGTACGCTGGTGAAGAGGGCGGTCTTCTCGGAAGTGGTGCTATCTTCCAGAAGTACAAGCAAGACGGTCGCCAGGTCAAGGCCATGCTGAACCAGGACATGACTGGCTACGTCAAGCCTGGTACCACCGAAGTCGTTGGCATTCTCACCGACAACGTCGATGCTGGCCTTACTACCTTCCTCAAGAAGGTTGTCGCTGCTGTAAGTCTTGGTCTCCAAATTTCATGGCTTTGACTAACTATGACTAGTACTCCAAGCTCCCAACCGTTGACTCCAAGTGCGGATATGGGTGCTCTGACCATGCCTCCGCTACCCGCCAGGGTTTCCCCTCGGCTATGGCTTTCGAGTCTACTTTCGACAACAGCAGCCCTTATATCCACGGCACCACTGATACTATTGACACCGTCAACTTTGGCCATGTTCTTGAGTTTTCCAAGATCTGCCTTGGCTTCGCTTACGAGTTGGGCTTTGCTACTACCCTTTAAGCGGCAGGTCATCAATCAACGACATCCCAGAAGGAGGGCCAGTCCAAACATCAATAGTCCAGTTTCATGTAAATAGATTATGAATTGATACTGCACATATCGTCAAACATTATGTAGTCTACCCTCACCATTGATGTTCTGCAATTATGATTGTGAATTGTGTACGACGCGGACAAGCATCGGATATCCGAGATCTGCAGCTGGCTTACACCAAGCCCGAATAGGAAACACTCGCCAGGTATGATTGGGTGAAGCTCATATGAATGAGGTGTAAGCACGCCATTCCAACGCCAAAATTGGTCTCGGTAATCCACTGAATCCCGAATCTAGTGGATTTCATCATTCGGGATATCCTCAATTGTGCGCACGATGTTATAAAAGATTCTCATCGACAGTTAATATTTTCGGTATCATCGAATATCAGTAATATCCGTATCAAAAAGACTCAGAATGTCACCAATTCTTAGTACCTCATTTACCACCCCAAAGGGATCTACCATTCTGGTCACTGGTGTCAACGGCTTCATTGGTTCTCATGTCGCCAATGAATTTCTACAGCGCGGATACCAAGTCCGAGGAACAGCCCGCGATACTATCAAGGCGGCATGGATAAAAGACTTGTTCCATCAGCAATACGGCAAAGACAACTTCTCACTCTGGTCAATTGCTGATTTGAGTTCTCCTCATGCTTTTGACAAAGCAATAAGAGGTAAGCGAAATTGGCAAAAAAACAGTCTCATTGCCACGCACTAACGTTCATAAAGGCGTTGAAGCAGTAGTTCACGTCGCTTCCCCATTAGGCCTCAACTCCGGAACCGGGACCATGATACCCGACGCCATCGCTAGTGCCCTGAACGCTCTGAAAGCAGCCAACAACGAACCAAGTGTGAAGCGCTTCGTGTACACCAGCTCTTCAACCGCAGCAGTCTTTCCCGAAGCAGAAGTGCCGGTTATAGTGGACTCGAATACCTGGAACGACGAGGCACTTGCAATCCTACAGAACTCAGCCTCGGCACCTGAATGGTATGTTGCGTATGCCGCTAGCAAGGTTGAGGCGGAGCGAGCCGTTTGGGGCTTTTATCATAACGATATGACGCGTCGTTCAGATCTGGTGGTCAACACAGGTAGGCTGTCCGTATCAATTGATCAACAGCATCGCTAACAGTAACAGTACTTCCTAGCACAAACTTTGGCAAGAGCTTGGATTGGAAGCATCAGGGATACCCATCAACATCAGGATTCATCAGGACACTATGGAGTGGCACTGCTCTCGAGTCACTGACCAATGCGTCACCTCGTAAGATGCCCCAAATTGCATTCCGTCAAGAAGCATAACTGACAATACTATGCAGAATATTTTATCGATGTACAAGATGATGCAAAGCTTCACGTCGCGGCCACTTTATTGCCTGATGTACAAGGGGAAAGGATCTTCCCTTGGGCAGAAACGTGGAATCTTGACCAAATCCTAGCTATTCTACGGGCGCAGAACCCCGACAGAACTTTTGTCAAAGACTTTCAGGCCATGCGTTATCTAGCAGATATCGAACAGCCGAGGCTCAGATGCATCCAGCTTTTGCAGGCTCTGGGTGAACCTGGTTTCACGTCCTTGGAGGAGAGCATTCGGCTGAATAGTGAGGACTTGGCTCGAGCTGCCTGAAGCTTTCATGCAGGAGGTTATCACATCATTGACGCGTCAACAAAAGTAAATAGATAGCATCATTAATGGAACATGTTGAAAGTTATTCGGACTACGGAACATCCGGGTTGCCGTAAACGAGGCTGATACGCGTACCGCACGTTCCAAGCGCGCAGTCTCGTGCTTAAGTTTGAGAAGTGCAGCAACGTTATAAATCACACCTTTGACTGCCGATTGGTGCGCGATACGAAACATACAGCGGATAATCTCCGTTTCATCCGTCGCCCTCGGCTTTGGACCTTGATGCAAATCTTTGCTGTGATCGGCACTGGGGGAAACATGCCCCCGTCGCAACCCAAACTCAAATCCACAGCTTCACTTTTACTCACTTGTTAGGTTTGTTCATCGAGATGCGAAAATTGATGACGAC